AGTAGGAGGATGGTTGGAATAAAGGGATCTTTAAGATCCCTTCCAACCCAAACCATTCTATGATCCCGTGCTTCTATGATTATCTGTGACACTGCTACCATTGTCACACAGAATCACACTGTCCTTCTGAAGCCCATAATGTCTCTCCTCAGAGATTTTAACCAAGATTTTTGGTTAGTCCAGCTGGCATCCTGTTACAAGTGGTGTCCCCCATGGGTCGGTACTGGGACCTATCTTGTTTAAGGTCTTTATTGATGACCTAGATGAGGGGATTGAGTGTACCCTCACTAAGTCTACAGATGACACCAAGTTGGGAGGTAGTGACGATCCGCATGAGGGTAGGGTGGCCCTTCAGAGGGACCTGGATAGGCTGGATTGCTGAGCTAAGGTGAGTGGGATGAGGTTCAACAAGGCCAAGTGCAGGGTCCTGCACTTTGGCCACAATGACTCCATGCAACGCTATGGGCTTGGGACACAGTGACTAGAGGATTGTGAAGAGCAAAAGGACCTGGGAGTGTTGATGGATGCTCGGCTGAACATGAGCCAGCTGTGTGCTCAGGTGGCCAAGAAGGCCAAGGGCATCCTGGCTTGTATAAAAGCAGTGTGGCCAGTAGGGCTACGGAAGTGACTGTCCCCGTGTACTTGGCTCTGATGAGGCCGCACCTCTAATACACAGTTTAGTTTTTGGCCCCTCGTTACAAGAAGGACATCGAGGTCCTGGAACATGTCCAGAGAAGGGCAGCCAAACTGTTGAGGGGGCTGGAGCACAGGTCTTATGAGAAGTGGCTGAAGGAATTGAGATTATTAACTTTGGCGAAGAGGAAGCTCAGGGGAGACCTCATTGCACTCTACAACTTCCTGAAGAGAGTTTGTGATGAAGCGGGGGTCAGCCTCTTCTCTCAGATAACTAATGATAGGACTTGAGGAAATGGCCACAAGTTGTGCCAGGGGAGATTTAGATTAGATATCACGAAAACCTTTTTCTCTCAAAGAGTAGTCGGGAACTGGAATGGTCTGCTCAGGGAGGTGGTGGAATCACCGACCCTCAGTGTTCAAGAAGCACCAGGACAAGGTGCTAGGAGATATGGCTTAGTGGCTTAGTGGGTAGTATTAGTGATAGGAAGGTTGGACTAAGTGGTCTTGTAGGTCCTTTCCAAATTTGTGCTTTTATGATTTCAATGACTCTATCATAGAACAAGCGGAATGGTTTTAAACTTCAAGAGGGTAGATTTAGATCCGATAGTCAGATGAAATTCTTGACTTGGAGGTGAGGCACTGGCACTTGTGCAGTAGGTCCAGAGGTCACCCAGAGGGAGTTTGGATCAGCCCATGGCCTTGTGTTTGAAGGAACAGCTGTTGAGAGTGGAGAGGCAGCAGTGAAATCATGGGAACAGCAGAGTGAGAACAAGGATGGGGGAAGAAATGTGTCTGTCTGCAGCCTTCAGGGAAGTGTGAGACAGCACAGGAAAGCATGCAGAGGAGAAGGCAGAGGGCTCTGACAAGAATGGAAGGCTGAGCAGCACTGACAACTTTGTCCCCTTGGCCATGGCTTATAAGGAGACATCTTTTACTCATGGCATTGGGGCCGTGTATCCTCCTTTCAACCCTTCACAAACACTGGAAGGTGTCATACAATTGTCCTTCACATGATATTGTGGGCATCACCCCCTACCCCACAGACCCCAGAAAGAGTGAGACATGGGGATGCCGGGGGTGCAGGATCTCCCCTCCCAGTGGCTGGGGTCAGGCCTTCACCTTCTGATTCACCAAAATTAACAGTGATTTTCTCAGCACAGTGCCTTTGCGTCTCTGTAATCATGGCTTCCAGTTATCTGCCCTAGCAATTCCCACAGGAGGCTTTGTGAGTAATCGAATAAAATAGCCAACAGAGTATTGAGTATTCTAATACTACAGAATAGTGTAGCCAACAGAGGTGAGACAAGTACTCTGATATAATGACAGGCATCAGAAAGCTGATCCCAGTTAGATGACTGATATGGGGAGGTCAGGAGTAGCCTGGCCAGGAGAGATGTGAGATTTGGGGAAGGGAAGAAGAAGGGAAGAGGAGCTCGGAAGCTTACCTTTGTAGAGATAAGAGGGTTCATGCAATATTGATGCTGCTGTAACACTGACTTCAGTCTTGTTACGCCTTTAAACAATAACAATAATCCCCAACCTAAACGTTAGTCCAACATGCTGACAGGAATCCACTATTGTAAAGCAGAACTCAAAATATCACCTCAAGATAAACTCAGCGCAGAGCCCCTATCCCTTACATTTCCTCTCTTGCTCACCCTAATCCCTGCCCTTAACACTAACATTAAATGCTCTATTTATCCCAAGACTTCTTCCCAGACCTAAACAAAACCCTAAGCCATAATGCTTGCCCATACCCTAACCACACACCTGACACCACAAACAGAACAGCAAACCTTCCAACTAAAACTTTGTTTACTCCCTAAACCAGAAAGGTAAGCCCCAGTCCATAGAGGACAAGAGAGAGGTGAGCTCTGCCTCAGGATCTCCTGCCCCAGCAGCAGGAATGTGACTGTGGCATAGACTGTGAGGTCACTTCTGTCTCTGCCCTTGATAGGGCAGCAGCAGGAACGTGTCACAGAAAGGGACTGTGAGGCCACTTGTGTCTGGAGGGGGCAAGTCAGCCTTGGCTCCTCGCTGGGTTCTGCACTTTTGGGCTGACATGTGGCAGTGGCCCTGCTAGGCCAGCAGAAGGCACCTGCTTGGCATGCTGACTGGGGGATCCCCTCTGCCTCCAGAACCAGGAGGACCCAGGCAGAAAGAAGGCCCCAACATGGGTTGTCCTGTCCCTTCTGCTTGAGTCCATGACTGGGCAGCAGCAGGCACAAGGCTTGGCTGTGTCTCCACAAGAAGCTGCAAGGCCAGCAGCAGGCCCCTGGCTTGGAAGCTGCTGCTGAGGTGACTTGTGTCTGCTTGGCTGCCAGGCCGCAAGGAGCCTCCTGGGTTGGGATGCCTACTTCAGAAGTGGTTTCCACCCTGACGGAGTTTACTTTGGTAATATGAAAGAGCAGGAGAGAAAAACTGCCACAAAGTGCACCCTGGAAACTTGGCACCGGCCATGAGAAGGAAGAAATATCCAGGGGAACAACTGGTCCGTCTGCTAGAGTTAGAGGCAAAGAAGGTGTTAAGAGCCTTTGCCTTTACCTCCTTTCTTGTTACCAAGTTTCCCCTCACATGCAATAAAGGATGATGATTCTCCCTAATCTTCCTTTATGTGAAGTATTTATATAAGCAGTTTTTATTTTCTTTGACAGTAATATACCCCTGGAGCTCCAGCTGGGCTTTGGCCCTTCTAATTTTGACCTGCACAGCCCCATAACATTCAGGACACAGCTCCAGACAAACTGAAAGCATGCATGGGAGGAAAGCACAAAAGACTTTCCTCAAGTCCTGATGCTGCTGTCTTGTCAGAGATAGCACAATCACATGGAATTAGAACTGTCTGCCTGCAGACCTTAACGCCTGACAGAATGGAGAGTCAGTCCACGGGAACCTTGAGAAACCTCAAGATTTGTCTAAAGGAACATCGTGCCCTTTACAAGAAGAAGAGCCCTGTCCTGCACTGATGAAGAGTAACCCTACACATCAGGGCAGCATGGGACGCTGCTGAGTGAGCAGTGCCCAGGAGGAGGAGGGACTGGGCACCACGAGGGATGTCATACAAGCAGTGGTGCCTGCTCACTAGGAACCAGGGCAGCTTCCTACAGAGTTGCCTTACGAGGAGCATGGCCACCAAGATGATATGAGTTATCAGACTCAGCTCATCTGTGTAAGAGACCACCAACAGAAGGGTCTGCAGCCAGCAGGGTAAGAGGTACAGGTATGAGAGTCCTTAGGTAAGGCTGCTGTGGAAAGGATTAAGGGCTGTGACAAGATTGAGAGACCCAGCAGGACCCAGGTCTTTGTGTCTATGGCTATGGCTGTTGTCTCTGCCACTGAGGTCTATGAGCAGACAGATTACTGTTAAAGCACCAGGGCCTCATTGCCTCCTCGCCCCCACCCATGAACCAGGCAGGGGTTGTACCATTCTCCTGCACTTGGCCATGCACATCCCCATCTCCTTCTGCCCCACAAAGAGCCCTGAGCAACCTGTAAAGGAAAGGATCTCCCTTCCCAGGGGACAGGGGTCAAGGCCTGGCCCTTGTGCTTTCTGACACACATCCAGTTTGTCCACACATCAGTGTCACCTTCACATTGCCTTTGTCTCCTTGTCCTCACTGCCTCCAGGGTTCTGCTCTAACGAGCTCCAAGGGAGGCTGTGTCAGTGCTGGCCCTCAGGGGGACACTGCAGGAAACTTGCCTCTGACTTGGACTTCTGGAGAGATGTCTTCAATTGTCTCTGAGTGCCTGAGGTTCGTGGGCTCATCAGCCAAGCCCCCAGAGGGGTGATTGCAGTGCCTTGGGCTGGTGCTGTGCTGCTGAGCTGTGCCATGCTTGTGAGACAGAGAAAACACATTTCAGAAAGTCCCATGAAGCAGAGAGAGCGCTGTGCCCAGGAGCAGCTCCTCTGCACAGCACAGCAAGGCAGGGGGCTCTGACTGCAGCTGGCATGGGGAGAGGGGAGAAGGAGAGGGGGCTTGGAGGCATAAGGGAGTGGGAGGATGCTGAGAGCTGCCTGCAGGAGAAATGTGCACAGCCCTTGACAAGGTAAGTGTCAAGGTGAATATTCTGTCCATCTGCTCTTCTACTGCAGCTTCAGTGCTCCCAGCTGTCTCAACTTTCTTCTCAGAGAAATCGCTGACCATGTTCATCATGCTAACCATAACAGGGATAACTACCAGATAACAAAAGAAAACTCTACCTTGCTCAAGCAAGAAAGAAACCTGGTTGAAGGTCCTCTTCAAAAAGAGAGGGTCAGGCTAAGGCATGTTTTAAGACTTACAATGGCTTTTCCTGAGAGAAGTCTGTTATAACGTTTCTCTGCCATCTCATCTTCAGAAGACAACTGTGTCCAGAGTCAGCAAATGCCCAACGTCAGCTTCGTGAGCGAGTTCCTCCTGCTGGCATTTGCAGACACACGCGAGCTGCAGCTCCTGCACTTCACGCTCTTCCTGGGCATCTACCTGGCTGCCCTCCTGGGCAACGGCCTCATCCTCAGCGCCGTAGCCTGCCACCACCGCCTCCACACCCCCATGTACTTCTTCCTCCTCAACCTCGCCCTCCTCGACCTGGGCTGCATCTCCACCACTCTGCCCAAAGCCATGGCCAATGCCCTCTGGGACACCAGGGCCATCTCCTATCAAGGCTGTGCTGCACAGGTCTTTCTCTTTGTCTTCTTGATGTCATCGGAGTATTTCCTTCTCACCATCATGGCTTATGACCGCTACGTTGCCATCTGCAAGCCCCTGCACTACGGGAGCCTCCTGGGCAGCAGAGCTTGTGCCCAGATGGCAGCAGCTGCCTGGGGCAGTGGCTTTCTCAATGCTGTCCTGCACACAGCCACTACATTTTCCCTGCCCCTCTGCCACGGCAATGCTGTGGACCAGTTCTTCTGTGAGATCCCCCAGATCCTCAAGCTCTCCTGCTCAGATGCCTACCACAGGGAAGTTGGGGCACTTGTGTTTAGTGTTTCTTTAACATTTGGTTGCTTTGTTTTCATTGTGCTGTCCTACATGCAGATCTTCAGGGCAGTGCTGAGGATGCCCTCTGAGCAGGGCCGGCATAAAGCCTTTTCCACGTGCCTCCCTCACCTCACTGTGGTCTCCCTCTTTGTCAGCGCTGTCATGTTTGCCTACCTGAAGCCCCCCTCCATCTCCTCCCCATCCCTGGACCTGGTGGTATCATTTCTGTACTCAGTTCTGCCTCCATCAGTGAACCTCCTTATATACAGCATGAGAAATAAGGAGCTCAAGGAGGCACTGAGGATGTTATTGAAATATTCAGTATTTCAGAGAGGAACCCATCTTCTGCATCTGATTCCCTGAAATATATGTGGACAAGGCAGAAACATCTTTGTTCATATATTTCAAAAATTATTCATTCTTTTCAATATTATTCCAATATGCTAAATTATTTTTTATCTTTTTATTTTATAAATTTAAGATATTTCTACTCCTCTTCTACATTTTCTTTTTACCCAAAGTCCTCATGTAGAGGTGCTGCTAAGCTCTTTGTAACTAACTAAATAAAAGAACCAGCAGGTAGGCAGTTTCTGTGGATCTCATTTCTCATACACTCTTCTCAGGTACAGCAGTGGTTGTGGGATGAAGATCCCTGCTGCAACGTGGTGGAAAGCCCTGGTGTCCTTTGGGGCTGCCCTTTATGCCCTGGCAGGCACGCCCTCCCTGCAGCCTTTGAGTCAGGGTCGCCACTTTCTTGGAACCACAAACACTGGCAGCAGCAGGACATGGTCGTTTTGGTGCTGGTCACCCTTCTCTTCCACACTGCTGTCTTGTTGCACCACTGAATCAGAACTGGCCTTCCAGCTAACACCCCTAGGAGTAAGGCTTTCAAAAGTGAGGTGGAGGAAGCACTGAGGAAGCAGCCTGATCTGATGTGAAAGTTCTCCCTGCTCAGAGCAGATCTTGGTACTGGAAACCTCCAGAGGTCCCTTCTGACTTTAATCCTAAAGGAAAGAAGAGGCGGGAGAGGGAAGCATGGGTAGGGAATATTGCTGTGGGTTGAGGTATTTTTGACATTTGTAATCCCTGCCAGGCATTGCAAAGTGACAGATTCACTGAGACTGGAGGGGACCTCCACAGCCCATCTAGCCACCCCCACTAGCCATGCATAGACACCTACACCAGCCAGCCCAGGCCCATTTCCAGTTGGGCTCTGGTATCTCCAGTGGCGAGGACTAGCCCACATTTGGGAAACAAGTTCAAGGACGAGAAGTGCATGTATTGAGAGGAAGGCCACGGAAAGCCACCAGGACAAGGGCCATTTTCTGCCCCTGTGGGGGACTGACCCTGGGCAAGGCCCAGCTTTGGAAGCAGCCCTGTCGGACATGGTGGGCAGTGAGCTGGGCAGGAGGCAGCCATGTGCCCTGGGAGCACAGGAGGGAAGGCTGAGGGACACCTCACCGCAGCCTGCCAGGAGCTGCAGGGATGTCAGGAAGAGCCCCCACGGGGCCAGGCTGTGCCCTGTGATGTGCAGGGAGCCCTCCTCTTGCCACTCTGCATGCGCTGGCTGCAGTAGAGGGGACCCCCAGCCAGTCCCTGCATGGGGCATGGGGCTGTGCCATCCGCCTGGCCCCGGGTTTGACTCCTTGTCTCTGCCGGGCCCCACCTTCCACACCCAAATGTGTCCCTTGGCTGTCGGCTCCCTTTCCACTGCCCTGTGGGAATACCAAACAAGGGCGGACAGGTTACCATTAGGTGTGCTGGTGTTTGTGTAATTCACATTGGTGATGGCACAAATGACGGTTCCTTCACCAGTGATGCACATCCTTCTTCATGCTAGGCCAAACTCAAGGTCTTTCTCTCTCTGCTTTTCCTCATGGATGAACTGGATTAGGTCTCCTTGATTATTCTGAGGCACAATGCAATGCTTTTTGCCTTCTGCTACTCCAGCACAATATGTGTGACTTTCCCTTACTCTGCACGTTGACCTGCAGGGTCATTCCACACTTTTTGTTTTCAAACCTTAATTGGATCGCCATTTCCAAATTGGGGCAAGCTGATGGGTTCTGGCTCAGCCATTTCAAGCATGCTATACTTGAGTTTTTCAGCCTGAGTTTGCTAAAGATGACCCAGGAAGGTAAACACATGCTCATGTGTCTAGTAGGAATAAGGGAGAGTATGTCATGTTTCCAATGGCCATTTCAAATCTATGTGAATCCCAGGACACCACTGAAGAAGAGGTTTGCCTTTGAAGGGGTTTCCTGTACTGGGATGCAGTTACAGGGACAAAGACCACTGCTGACAATGGAGGTGCCCTGGGAACTCCACCTGGCTTCACCTGGTTTTCCCAAAGGGCTCCGGCCTCCTGTAGGTCTTTAATGACATCTGCCAGTCCAGGGAATTGCCTGAAAGACAACGGGGCCACTGAAGGTTTTCCCTCGTTATGCTTATGGTCAGACAGGTGAATGTCCCCATTTCCACCTGCCTGTCCGGACCTATGTACTTCCCATGGTTCTTCTGTTTTGCCCTCCCCTTACTCTTTGACCATTCAGACCTCTCTCAGCAACCCAGTTGCTTCTGTGAGATTCAGTGAGTTCAAGCTCGTCCATCTCTCAGCAGTCTGTCTAATGGTTTCCTTAGCAAGAACCTCATAATTTATCATTGAATTAGTATGATACGGATTAATATTAACACAATTACTTAAAGTTTCCTATTAATCAGTGGAAAATACATCATGTACAGTCATCCTTTTGAGAAGATAAACATCACTGGAGGCAACAAAATAATGAACTTGAGCTTTGTTTTTTTGAAAATTGCAGCATGATTTCCTGTTGTTTGTTTTGAAATAGGAAAAACCCTGCTCTTCCTACCTAAGCAGGGCTTCAAAAGTCAAAACGTAGACCAATACCTATAGGACAATGATGCTCTCAACTGAAACACAACAAAATTCAGCCTTTAAAATGAAGAAAGATTTTTATTAGATGCTCTTTGAAATCTTCCCCCTTAACTAGAACATGAAAGCTCTCCAATTAGCTGAACAAGTGTTGAAGACTTGAAGAAAATGGTGGGAGAGATATGGCTTGTTAGGAGTTTCTGTGTTTTAATGAGGTCCATTGTGTATTTTGGTGCTGAGTCAATGAAACTTGGGTACTGAGCAGAGAATGATGCAACTGTGTGAAAAAGCAAATGCAAAAGGAAAAGCTGAAGTGACTTGGAGTATTAATGGGCCCCACTGAGGGCTGTTACTAACAAAGCTTCTCCAGGGACATGTTAGGACAGATAATTGGAGGCCATGATTACAGACAAACAAAGCACTGTGCTGAGAAAAGTCTTGGTTGGTTTTGGTGAAGACAAGGTCCAAGGCCTGACCCCAGCCACTGTAAGGAGAGATCCTGCAGCCCCCTGTCTGGCTCAGGACTTTTCTTGAGGGTCTGAGGAATGTGGTGGGCAGTGTGATCCCACAAGAAGAACACTGGTGTGACACCTCCCTGCCTCTGCACAGGGTTGCAAGGAAGCAAACACTGCAATGACTATATGTCATCTTCTCATAAGCTCTAGCCAAAGTGACAGGGCTGTTGGGTCCTTCCATTCTTGCCAGCACTCTCTGCCTTCTCCTCTGCATGATTTAAAATGCTGTCCCACACTTTGTCCTATTTCCTGGAAATCTGCAGACACCCATCTCTATTCAACACCTTGCTCTCATCCCAGCATTTCCATCATTTCACCAACGTCTCTTCAACCCTCAACAGATGTTTCTTGAAAAACGAATTTAAGGTCAGATCATAGATACTCAGCAACATCTTCCAAGCCACGGGCCTGCTGCTGGCCTTGCAGCTTCTTGGCTAGACACAGCCAAGCCTTGTGCCTACTGCTGCCCAGTCATGGACTCAAGCAGAAGGGACAGGACAACCCATCTGGGGGCCTTCTTTCTGCCTGGGTCCTCCTGGGTGTGGAGGCAGAGGGGATCCCCCAGTCAGCATGCCAGGCAGGTGCCTTCTGCTGGCCTAGCAGGGCCACTGCCAGATGTCAGCCCAAAAGTGCAGCTCCCAGGGAGAAGGCAAGGCTGACCTGCCACCTACTTCAAGCAGAAGTGACCTCCCAGTCCCTTTGCGTGACACATTCCTGCTGCTGCCCTATCAAGTGCAGAGAGAGAAGAGAACTCTCAGTCCCTGCCTCAGTCACATTCTTCCTGCTGGGGCAGGAGATCCTGAGGCAGAGCTCACCTCTCTCTTGTCCTCTATGGAATGGGGCTTACCTTTCTGGTTTAGAGATTAAATAAAGTTTTAGTTGGAAGGTTTGCTGTTCTGTTTCTGTGTGCTGTTCCGTTCTGTGTCAGGTGTGTGTTTAGGGTATGGGCAAGCATTATGGTTTAGAGTTTTGTTTAGGTCTGGCAAGAAGTCTAGGGATAAACAGAGCATTTAATGTTAGTGTTAAGGTCAAGGAATTAGGGTGAGCAAGAGAGTAAATGCAAGGGAAAGGGGCTCTGCGCTTAGTTTTTCTTCACATGGTATTTTGAGTTCTGCTTTACAATAGTGGATTCCTGTCAGGATGTTGGACTGTCAGCCCAAAAGTGCAGCTCCAAGAGAGAAGCCAAGGCTGACCTGCCACCTCCAGACACAAGTGACCTCACAGTCCCTTTCTGTGACACCTTCCTGCTGCTGCCCTATCAAGTGCAGAGACAGAAGTGACCTCACAGTCCCTGCCACAGTCACATTGCTCCTGCTGGGGCAGGAGATCCTGAGGCAGAGCTGAGCTCCTCAGAGCATTCCCACCCATCTCCTCCTTGTGACCCACAAGCTGATCAGATCCATGGCCCCTCACATTCATTTGCGGTAAGGGTTTTGTTTAGGTCTCTGAAGCAGTTTTCTAGTGTTATATAGACCATTTTAATGCTAGTATTAAGGACAGAGATAAGAGTAATTAAGAGAGAAAGAGCTAGGGGAAGCAGCTATGGGCTGAGTTTTGTCTTCTAGGGATACGTTGAGGTCAGTCATTAGAGTAGTGGATTCCTGTCAGGGTGCTGAGTAGCATTTAGGTGTAGGAATTAAGTTTACAGGTTGAAGCCGGGGAATAGCCTCATATAACTGTTTTAAGTCACTGCTACTGCAGTATCAGCAGAACATGAACCCTCTACAAAATCCTTAATTTCTGCTGACAAAGCCCCTGTTCCCTCCCCCAAATCTCACATCTCTCCTGTCCATCTTTCTCCTGACCTCCCCTTATCAGTCATCTCAATGGGATCAGCTTTCTGATGGCTTTCATGATCTCAGAGTATCCATCACATCTCTGTTGGCTACTCTATTTCTGAGAAAAGTGGCACTTAAGACACGATGGAAAAGGACACAAAAGTCCATCAGAGCATC